TGGGGGATCAGTTTAGGAGTTAAATAATAACAAAACTGAGCCCTATTGGCCAGTAAGAGTTGATTAGACTTTTTAGACAACATCAAGTGGGGGATCAGTTTAGGAGTTAAATAATAACAAAACTGAGCCCTATTGGCCAGTAAGAGTTGATTAGACTTTTTAGACAACATCAAGTGGGGGATCAGTTTAGGAGTTAAATAATAACAAAACTGAGCCCTATTGGCCAGTAAGAGTTGATTAGACTTTTTAGACAATATCAAGTGGGGGATCAGTTTAGGAGTTAAATAATAACAAAACTGAGCCCTATTGGCCAGTAAGAGTTGATTAGACTTTTTAAACAACATCAAGTGGGGGATCAGTTTAGGAGTTTAATAATAACAAAACTGAACCCTATTGGCCAGTAAGAGTTGATTAGACTTTTAGACAACATCAAGTGGGGGATCAGTTTAGGAGTTAAATAATAACAAAACTGAGCCCTATTGGCCAGTAAGAGTTGATTAGACTTTTTAGACAACATCAAGTGGGGGATCAGTTTAGGAGTTAAATAATAACAAAACTGAGCCCTATTGGCCAGTAAGAGTTGATTAGACTTTTAGACAACATCAAGTGGGGGATCAGTTTAGGAGTTAAATAATAACAAAACTGAGCCCTATTGGCCAGTAAGAGTTGATTAGATTTTTTAGACAACATCAAGTGGGGATCAGTTTAGGAGTTAAAAAATAACAAAACTGAACCCTATTGGCCAGTAAGAGTTGATTAGACGTTTTAGACAATATCAAGTGGGGGATCAGTTTAGGAGTTAAATAATAACAAAATTGAACTCTACTTGGCATCTATTATTTTTTTAAAATCAATTAAAATCTATCATAGACTGGACTGATTTCTCTAGATGTAATTTCCTTAATTTGTCATCTATTGCAACGGCTCATGCTTGCTTCTTCGTTTTCGTTTTTTTTCACAGAAATAAAGGAAAAAGACAAAGTCCCAATCAAGTCGAGAAAAAAAAAACTCAAAAGAAATAAGAACAAAAACTTTTTCAAAATATGTGACAGAAGAAAAGCAGTAAAAAAAAAAAAATTTTACGAGGAGATGAGTGTATTTTCTGATTACCTCGCCTTTGAAATTTCAATCGATGGTTACCTTCAGAAAGATTAACAATAATAATAGTATTATTATTATTATTATTATACAAACTACAGATAAGAAGAAAATATTAAAGAAAGCTGGAAGAAGAAGTTCAATTGGTTGTATTTACAGCAATGAAACAGAAGAGAAAGAGTATCATGAAAAAAAAAATATTAAAAAAAAAAAACACCCTCAAGCAGAGAACTCTTCAGCTCCCCCTCATTTTACATACCAGGTAATTGAAAAGTAACTCCTCCCTATTTTATATCTAGAGAAGGTTATTGAATAATAATCAAATGAAGGTTGGTAATGAACAATAATACTTAGGACAAGAACAACACATATAAGATTTGCCAGCAGTGCATAGAAGTAGTAAACTTCTAGAAGGGTGTCAAGTGAATTCTACACTGAATCTCCAACTGCAGGATATCTACCAACCACCCCCCACATGGTCAGATGTGGCATAAGGCTGGATTTAACGTGAGCTGTTAGAGCTTGTAGGCCCAGCCCAAAATTCCCTATAGACCCCATATAAAACAGTGTCAGGTAGCTGTTTCCCAAGACGAGACTCTACCCAACATAGCCCCGCCTGGGGATCCTCTCTGCTGGAGACAGAAGAGTTTGGCCAGCACAGCTGGAGATGAATCTTCAACTGCAGACCAACATACAGTATTTACTACTGTATTTATTTGAATGGAGACATAACTATTATTGTTAATAGGTATGCTAACAACATATATATGATAGACTCTCCTGTCTAACAATCATTTTACAAGATGGGAGAGTATATCATACATAAAATAGGGAGTTACTTTTCACTCAACCTGTATATGTAAGTTCAAAATTTACTATATTTGAGAAAACAGTGTTCATGATTGGAAATAGATGATTTAGACAGTGTGGAGATAGGAATAAACACTGAATGGGGACTGTCAGTTTTATGCCTTGTTGCAATGTTCAGGCTTGGTCAGGCAACAAGGCATAAAACTGACAGTCACCATTCAGTGTTGATTCCTATATCCTTTGTGTATATATGTTGGTTGGTCATTTGATTTTATGATATTTCACCACTTGTTGAGGTATTTAAAATTGATTTTTTTCTTGTACAGAACACCCAGTGAGAATCAAACTCAATAGTAATAATCAACCAGACTAGATTTGCTAAATATTACCCTATGGTAACAGTTGGTTGGTTGATTTTATAATTCAACCCTTTTTGAGTTTTTGTATGGGGCACCTGGTGAGAATCAAACTCATTACTCAGTAGTAATGGTCAATCAGACTTGTTTCATTAACCATTATCCCATGCCAAGTGTTGGTTGGTTGTTTTTATGCCATGTGAATCCTTGTTGAGTTGTTTAATGGTGAATTTTGTATGGGGCACCTGGTGAGAATCAAAGTTTTGCCCAGTTGTAATGGTCAACCAGTCTAGCCTAGTTAACCATTACCTCATGCCAGTTGTTGGTTGGTTGGTTGGTTGATTTTACAAAATATCAACCCTTGTTGGGTTATTTAATGCTGAATTTTGTATGGAGAGAGATGTATGCTAAGGTTAAAAAGAAAGAGAGAGAGAGAGAAATAAGGATAGAGAGAGAGAGATGTGCAAAGATGGAGAAAAAGAGAGAGAGATATGTGTAAGGATAGAGAAAAGAGAGAGATGTGTAAGGATAGAGAGAGAGATGTGCAAGGATGGAGAAGAGAGAGAGATGTGCAAAGATGGAGAAAGAGAGTGTGCAAAGATGGAGAAAGAGAGAGAGAGAAATGTAAAAAGATGGAGAAAGAGAGAGAGAAAATGTGCAAGGATGGAGAAAGAGAGAGAGAGATGTGTGCAAGGATGGAGAAAGAGAGAGAGAGATGTGCAAGGATGGAGAAAGAGAGAGAGATGTGTGCAAGGATGGAGAAAGAGAGAGAGATGTGTGCAAGGATGGAGAAAAGAGAGAGACGTGTGCAAGGATGGATAGAGAGAGAGAGATGTGTGTAAGGATGGAGAGAGAGAGAGTGTGTAAGGATGGAGAGAAAGAGATGTGTGTAAGGATGGAGAGAAAGAGATGTGTAAGGATGAAGAGAAAAAGATGTGTGTAAGGATGAAGAGAAAGAGATGTGTTTAAGGATGAAGAGAGAAAATTGTTTTAGGATAAAAGAGAGAGAGAGAGACAGATGTATAAGGATGAAGAGAGAGAGAATTTGTAAGGATGAAAGAGAGAGAGATCGTGTAAGGATGAAGAGAGAGAGAGAATCGTGTAAGGATGAAAGAGAGAGAGAGAATCGTGTAAGGATGAAGAGAGAGAGAGAATTTGTGTAAGGATGAAGAGAGAGAGAGAAAAATTGTAAGGATGAAGAGAGAGAGAGAATCGTGTAAGGATGAAGAGAGAGAGAATCGTGTAAGGATGAAGAGAGAGAGAATCGTGTAAGGATGAAGAGAGAGATAGGCTTTTAGATGTGTACCAAGGATGGAGATGTGTGCAAAAAGGGAGGTAGAATGAGAAAGAGGTGTGAAAAGAGGAAAAGAATTTTTTTTAGCCCAGTCGAGAAGGAGAGATAATTTCTTCAAAAAAAGAGAAGAGAAGGGGAGACTTTTAAGGGGGGAGGGGGGTCAGAAAAATAAAAGAGACATGTGAAGTATGAGAACTCAGAAGGCAATTATGAGGAAACGAGGGTGTGGTTACAACAGAGAAACAAACATTGAAAGAGGATGAGACGATGAAAGCATGTAAAAAAATAATGAACCATTTCTTTAAAAATTGTACCTTCATTAATCTTTGGTGAACATTGTGGCATAAGAGGATGGGGGAGTTCATGTGAGTGTAACCAGAAAATTAAAACCTTCCCTGCCTCAACTCTCTTCACATTCACGCTTCCCACTCATATCAAAAGATGGGATGGGTGGGTGTAAAATAAAAAAAATTTTTTTTTTTCTTTTTAAAATCATTGCTCTTAACCCTTTTCCGACAAGGAATGACCTTCACAGGTGACTGACATCAGTTCTGAAATGTCCTCCCGACTTTTGAGAGTCATTATGTATTGATGGGAACCACATTAGTGTTTCTTGGTAGGGGAGAGGAAAAAGTGAAGTAGGAGTGATGAAGAAAAAAGAAAAGAGAAGAGGTGAGAGAATAGGAGAAAGAAAGAGAGAAAGAAGAGGTGAGAGAATAGGAGAAAGAAAAGAGAGAGAAGAGGTGAGAGAATAGGAGAAAAAAAAGAGAGAGAAGAGGTGAGAGAATAGGAGAAAGAAAGAGAGAGAGAAGAGGTGAGAGAATAGGAGAAAGAAAGAGAGAGAGAAGAGGTGAGAGAATAGAAAAAGAAAGAGAAAGAGGTGAGAGAGAAGAGGGAATTGGAGAGAGAGAGAGAGAGAAGAGGGAATTGAGAGAGAGAGAAGAGGGAATTGAGAGAGAGAGAAGAGGGAATTGAAGAGAGAGAGAGAGAATTGGAGAGAGAGAGAAAGAGGGAATTGGAGAGAGAGAGAGAGAGAAGAGGGAATTGAGAGAGAGAGAGAGAGAAGAGGGAATTGGGAAAGAGAGAGAAGAGGGAATTGGGAAGAGAGAGAGAGAAGAGGGAATTGGGAAGAGAGAGAGAAAAGGGAATTGGAGAGAGAGAGAGAGAAAAGGGAATTGGAGAGAGAGAGAGAAGAGGGAATTGGAGAGAGAGAGAGAGAGAAGAGGGAATTGGGAAGAGAGAGAGAGAAGAGGGAATTGGAGAGAGAGAGAGAGAAGAGGGAATTGGAGAGAGAGAGAGAGAAGAGGTGAGGGAAGAGGTGAGAAGAGGAGAGAGAAGGAGGTGAAAGAGTTCAGTTACTTAAGAGGAAAGATGTCCCCAGACCCAAGAAGATCCTAGTTGGGTGGGGGGTTGTCATTTCTACATGCTAGAAGACAAATGCTTACAGTCAAATCACAAAGAACACATTGGTTCTCATTCGATCACCGAAGTTAAGCATCATAGAGTCAGGTCAGTACTTAGATGGGGTCCACTTGAGAACACCAGGTACTGTAAACAAACCCCTACTACTGGGGTAAACTTTTGGGGCACTTTGACATGGTGTAATTGTTACCAAGCTTGTCTCACCAGATCAATTGCAACAATAGTAAGTTCGATTCTCACTAGGTGCCTCACACTTTCAGCCTTGTACCACATCTAAGCTACACTTAGAAAATCACCATGCGAGAAGAGAAACAAAAGACAGGAAGTGTCCTGTTTCTATAGGTGTGTGACAAAACCATCTAATAACTTGGCAAAGTTATTTGGAGATAACCCACAGCTGAACTAAATTTTTCCCTTTGTATCAAAATTGCATTCTCAAGGAAGAAAGCCTGCTTAAATTTTACCTGCTGATGGTAGTCTCTGTGGCCCAGTGATTAAAGCACCCTTCATGTGAGATAGGCTCCTAAGATTTTTTTTTTTACTCATTTTGCTGACAAGTTTCTCATCTCAATGCTTAGACAAAAAGTAACAGGAAACGTTGATAAGAAAACAATAACTGTCTATATCTCTGCAATGAGGTATTATGATTATTTACATTATTTGAACTGTTATCTTCATCTTCATTGCCATATTCACAACATTTCGAACGTACGCTCTGGCCCTCATCAGGTGATGTGAATATGGCAATGAAGATGAGGATAACAGCCCAAATAATAATAATAATAAAGACATTAAACCAATGAACCAATGGCCTACTGGATTAAAACTCTCATTCATGAATTTGGTGACATAGTGATTGTAAGTTCAACCAAGAAGCATGTACTCTGACTCGGTGGAAACTAAACGGTACTAAAAATAATTGTGTTATATTCCATACTAATAGGAATATATACTTGAAAAACACAGTGGATAAAATAAGTAAAGGTTTATTGTCAAAACCAGTACACTAAGAAATAAGGCAACAGTTATGCGCACGAATCAACCCAGTAGTGAGTGCTACTATTGGACAATCAGGAGTTCTCGTGTAAGTCTGGGTCATACTAAACAGATCCCAGCTAGTCTCCATAGTCCATTGACTTACTAATACTTATAGTGTAGTTACTCATGGGGGTGACAGGTTATTCCATTATATCAAAATGTATTTGGTGAACCTCAGTAAAAAAAAATAAAAATAAAAAAATAAAAGGTTGGCAGTTCTTGTGTAAGTCTGAGTTGTACTCAACAGATCCCAGCTAGTCTCCATAGTCTGTTGACTTACCAATAGATATAGGTAGTTACTACGTATAGTGTTACCTGCTTGAGATGACAGGTTATTCCATTACATCAAGGATAGAGAAAGAGAGAGAGAGAGATGTGCAAAGATGGAGAAAGAGAGAGAGAGAGAGATGTGCAAAGATGGAGAAAGAGAGAGAGAGAGATGTGCAAAGATGGAGAAAGAGAGAGAGAGAGAGAGATGTGCAAAGATGGAGAAAGAGAGAGAGAGAGATGTGCAAAGATGGAGAAAGAGAGAGAGAGAGAGATGTGCAAAGATGGAGAAAGAGAGAGAGAGATGTGCAAAGATGGAGAAAGAGAGAGAGAGAGATGTGTGCAAGGATGGAGAAAGAGAGAGAGAGATGTGTGCAAAGATGGAGAAAGAGAGAGAGAGATGTGCAAGAATGGAGAAAGAGAGAGAGAGAGATGTGTGCAAGGATGGAGAAAGAGAAAGAGATGTGTGCAAGGATGGAGAAAGAGAGAGAGATGTGTGCAAGGATGGAGAAAGAGAGAGAGATGTGTGCAAGGATGGAGAAAGAGAGAGAGATGTGTGCAAGGATGGAGAGAGAGAGAGATGTGTGTAAGGATGGAGAGAGAGAGAGATGTATTTGGTGAACTTCAGTAAAAAAAAAAGAAAAGAAGAAAAGGTCAATGGTTAACAAGCAAACCAATTTGCTACTGTTGTCAGTATGACCCTCATGAGGAGCTCTGTTATTATGACCTTGTGCCATACTAAGATTAAATCCTCTGACTGAGTGTTCCAGTACAATGTTGACTTTTATATAATGTGTGTGTATGTGTGTGTGTGTGTGTGCGTATATATTTTCAAGACACAAAGAAAGGATGAAGAGAGACAAATACAGATATTATGATAGGAACTGGAAAAGGAGAAAAATAAAAACTGTATAATCTGATGTGAATCTTTCTACACATCAACACCTATTTGGGTCACAAGTATAAATGGCCAATTTCAAGCCTTGACAAACCAGAGAAATTAAAAAACAAAAAAAAACTAAAAGTTCCGTGATTTTGAAAAAGCAAGCAGTAAAAATATCAGTTCCGCAACATCTTAGATCAGTTGACCCCCACTTGGTCTTCAATAAATATATTACTAAATAAATAAATGTATTGGTATGAAATGATCAGAAAAAAAAATTCAAACAAATTTAACACTTATAAATAACAGCTTTTTTTGGCAACTGGGCACCTCTCTGGATAATACAATACCAACTTTTGTTCTGTGGTTATGGTGTAATTGAACCACTGCTGATTGAAGACGGTTCATTTAAAGTTTTTGGGAACATTGCATCAAACATAACCAGTATTATTAAATCATGAAATTGCCAATTCTCTTTTAAGCATTTTTTTTTTTTAGATTTAATTTTAAATTTTATATTTTGTTTAGACTGACATTCTCTGGGAAGTGTTTTTTCTAATGCCATATACGTTAAGGAGGTAAATGATCACACATTTTCCATTCCTTTTCTGTAAAATTGTTTTGTAAAATTGACATGATTTTCTGTAAAATCCTTCAGTAAAAATGGATATAATTTTTGTAAAATTGATGTGATTTTCTGTGAAATTCTTATGTAAAATTGATGTGATTTTCTGTAAAATCCTTCAGTAAAATTGATGTGATTTTGTAAAATTGACATGATTTTCTGTAAAATTCTTCTGTAAAATTGACATGATTTTCTGTAAAATTCTTCTGTAAAATTGACATGATTTTATGTAAAATCCTTCAGTAAAAATGGATATGATTTTTGTAAAATTGATGTGATTTTCTGTGAAATTCTTCTGTAAAAGTGACATGATTTTTTTCTAAAATCGATATGATTTTCTGTAAAATCCTTCAGTAAAATTGACGTGATTTTCTGTGAAATTGACGTGATTTTCTGTGAAATTCTTCAGTAAAATTGACATGATTTTTTGTAAAATTGACATGATTTTCTGTAAAATTCTTCTGTAAAATTGGCATGATTTCTTTGAAAAGATAATGAAACAGTTTTCCATTACCATCTCCATCATTTGAAAATCAGCAGTGTCCTCATAGACACCGAGGACGAAAAGCCATTTTTAGCTACGGCAGCGAGTAGGAGTTTTAGAAGAAATGAATTCATACCTTCCTGCTATTTACTGTCATCTCTGCACAACTGAGGTAAATAAATGAAGTTGAAGATTTTTTAATTTGGAGAAAGTAGAAATTACTACGTTGCCTTTCTTCTCATCTTGCATGGCATATGGCTCCACGTAAACACCCACACACTTAAAATTCCCTCATGGTAAATAAAAACCTTAAAAGTGCAAAATTGTTTGTATACAATGCCTACATGCCATTTAGAGTCCTAATGAGGAACATACAAAATGTTTACAGCATCACCGTATGAAAATCTGCATTGTTCATGTGCATCAGTACAAAATTACCAATCCTTTTTGCATCATCATTTTTGGTTAGGACAGGCTTAGGCCTGCTACTGGTAACATGTAACCCAGTGCAACCTGCTGCATGGACAGGTGGTTGGTAACTAAACCAACTCCAGTAGCTTTTCTGCTGGTGAAGAGGCAAGTGAACTGTCACCCCACAGAATGAAAAACAAGACCTGTCAAAAGAGCAGATTAGCTTTTTAAGAGAGCCACTTTAGAAAATTGCTTTGTTTATGTTTGCAAATGAAAATGACGAGAGGCATTTCACTTAAAGGCACATTTCAAACGTTTGCTTGATCAGCAAGGCTGCTCCGTGGCTGAGTCGGTGAAAGCACATCAAATCTAACAACAGTTTCCCTCTGTCCAGAGAGACGAGGTTCCAATATTGCTCAAGAGTACATATTTTCCTTTAATGAGATTTCTTGAGTATTTAGCCTAGTAGACGAAAATAAATAAATTTACTGTTTTATAAATAAATGGAGCATCTACTCAAATATGAGTATCTAATAAAAATGACGATAAAAGTTGTATATATATATATATATATATATATATATATATATATATATATATATATATATATAAGGTGACCCCAAAAAATGGGAATTTTGAAGTGCTAATTGCCAGACATGAGCAAGTGGCAACACTAAAAAGACAGTGACCGTGAGCAAGTAAACATTTTGCCATTTAGAATTCAAGATGAAATTCACAGTATTCCAGCTGAGATGTTGCAGCAGTCAATGAGGCATCTCAACAGCAGATTTCCAAAATGTATTAGTACAGGAGGACACCATCTACAGGATGTAATTTTAAAAAAAATGAAAATTCCATCATTGTTTCTTAAATGGCATGTTTTAAGGTTTCAATTACTATGAATAAAATATTTTTCTTCCATCACTCTTGGTTTTATTGGATTGTTAAAAAGTTCCCATTTTTTTGGGTCACCCTATATATATATATATATATATATATATATATATATATATATTTATTTTATTTGAGCCATGTTTGGGTGTCAATCTGAGGACAGTGAAGGGATTCAGAAAGAGTTGGATGAGTCTAATGGTGATTACGAAGGTACGGCAACTCGGGAAACCTCACTCTGATCATTCTGATAAGAAAAGAACTCCTGAATTTGTTGGTCTGAGCCTCAGATTCAACACGGAGGCCTAACTCAAATGCCTTGAGGAGGTCATGCTACCCAGGGTCAAGAGGGTGGTTGCTAGAAGAGCCTATGTCTAGAAACAGGATGCTGCCCCATGCCACACAAGCAGGAGAACTCAAACATGGCTATCAGACAATTTCTGCAACCACATCACCCTTTACATCTGTCCACCTAACTCCCCAGACTGCAAACCTCTTGATTATTATGTATGGGATGCAGTTGAGTGAGAGA